TGTCTTTTCTCTGTTTGTCACCATTGGCTCGTAACCTTTTTAAATACGCGATCATGCAGTCCGGGGTAGCAAATATACCAGTTAACTATCAATACWTTAAAGAAGATCCTGAATCGTGGTATGTTGAACGTTTGTGGCTTGATYATCACTGTCGTCTCTTTTCACTCTTTGAACCAGAGTGTAGTTAACTTGAATAGTAATGCTTTAAATTGATATGACGAAATTTGAGAATTATCGCTTGAAAAATCAWGAAGATACAGTACTTAAAYACACAAAATTTACAAAGAAACTCAACCTCATGCACCACACATTTCTTTGTAAAATKTTGTGAATTTGAGAAGCTTTATCTTCTGGAATTTTCATAATTTTAACTGATTAAAAACCAAATGTACTAATTTTAGTCTGTTTTCTTCACGTTTGTCGTGATAATTTTTCACCAACTCCTCAAATTAAGTCATCCGTGAAATGACCTATTATTTAATCTTCTCACTTCGAATGCTGTACTTTATTTTAAAGGGAATCTTACAAGSAGAGGTTAAAGTGCAACAAGAACGTTAGTATAATTGATTGTTTAAAGTCCGTCAAACCAAGTGTCTTCAACAATGTAAAACCACCGCGTTGGTTTATTASACCTGTTGTTGATGGAGAATACATCCCAGGTAGTCTTATCCTATCAGTTTGCTTGCCTTGTTGTTTTAGTTTAAATTTCTTATCCGCATCGGTGCCTCAGCACTTGTTTAACAAAGAGTTTCCTTTAAGTTGGTGTTGGAAAGCTACAATTTGTAGCTTAATCATAGGCTTATTCGTTAAGATGATTCAATATGTATAATCAAGTCCTTCAATAAATATGATGAGTCCGTCAATTCCTGGCTGGCTTATGTTGTACCACTAGTTGACAGAAGTCTTATTCACAATTGATGACATGTTTGAAAGTTCTTGGTAATTTTATATATATTTTTTTAGATTCTCCACATACCTTGCTTGACAAAGGAAACTTCACAAACCCCGAAAGTACTATGATAGGCGTGGCCAGCGATGATGGATCGCGTAAGTGACGAACGCCATACCGGGTATTTGATTCATATTATCCATTTCATTACAAAGCTTAAATAATGGCGGTTCCATTAGAAGAGAGATTTTTGTCATTTTGTCACACACAGCGCTCGGCCCTACCCCTCTTACTGCGCAAGTTCGACGCCGTCTGCTACAATCGATCATAATAAATATCAAAAAAGATAGATTTATCATTTAAGGTATAATAACTCCCTTTTGTGACTTCCAAGGCTTAGTTACTAATAGACACTATTTAGACACTATCACTGAACCAGAACAGTACAAAGAGATTACTTTAATTGTTAAAGTGGTCTCTTGGGTATTGCTTATTGGATCAAATCAACTGTTCTGGTTCAATTAGTGCTAACGACTATTAGGAACTAATAGTCCCTATTAGTTAGTACTTTTTAGTTCTTATTTCATGGTTCATGTGACTCTGCTCTAATAAGGAGTGTTTTATCACATATAAAAATCCATGCATGTGACCAAATAGACTCATTCTATTGGCCTAATAACTCATTAATTATGTATGAGTTTTTGAATCATATTTCTTTTCATTGTTTAAGAACTATTGAATTCTTCAATCAACATTCGAGGTGACAGCATAACTAGAAAGTACTTTCTTCAATTTATGAAAGACTGGGCTCCTCATTTTAACCACTTGGCTAGTTCTAAACGCTTCCTCCCATTGTACAAGAGCGCTGTTATTCAAGAATACACTCCGTGGTCCAATCTTAACAAAACACATCAAAACCGACGCAAGATTCTTGACTTTTTGACGGACACCATGTTTATCGCTCCATCAATTTACCACGCGAATGCATTTGTAAAAAACGGTGCAAAAGTGTTTTTCTATCAAGTGGACCATGGTATTGACATGTCGGATGGCTATTTTACGCATCCATCGTTCTTAAAGGGTTATCATGAATCAGAGAGGTTTATGGTGTTTGGATTTCCATTGAAAGCCTCACATCCCCCACCAGCCGATGTTGCAATATCCAAAAAAGTCATAGAAATGTGGTCAAACTTTGCAAAAACTGGGTATGAATCAGTGTGATTTGAATAAAATCCCATCAATAAAGAGAAAAAGAGCTTCTCTTATACATACTGTTAGCCTTAAAGTCCAACTCATCACCAACCATTGATTAAGCCAACTCTGTTTTGTTCTGTTTGCAGAAATCCTTACCCGTATGATACACAGAGTGAAGAGTCCTGGCCTGAATATGATCTAAACTCGAAAAAATATTTGTCAATTGAACCCAATTTGAAAGTAAAAAGCAATCTGCGACCTCGTCAAGTGGAATTTTGGAATAATTTTCTCCCTTTTTTGAATAAGACCGCCTACGAATCATGTGTTACCAACTTTACCAAGTCTAACATCAGCGATTCTGACAGCGGTTTTGGCGACGAGTTCGAAAGCGGGTCTTGGGGAGAGATGGTTGGTGAGGACGTCGAGGAGGATTCTGGTTACAGTCGCATGAAGTCTATTCCTTTCCTAGGTCTATTCTAAGGGATCTTGTCAGCATAAATCAAAAAATAAAATCTTAATGACAAACTTAAAGATCGTTTGCTTTGTTTTGTGGTAACAATGAAAACAGGGTCGTGACATGTCACTCTAGGAATCAGGATTTTAGCTTTGGGATCTTGTTGGCTTTATTTGTTACAGCTGAATTTATCAAATCGTCATTTCTTATTTAAATTGAAAGGGAAAATAGGAAAATGAAGAGAGAAACAAAAAACAACAGACTAGAAAAACAAGAAGAAAATACTCCAACTCGGGCCTTTAGAGTGAGGGAAACAGACTCCCCTCCCCTCTCCGGACATCTGAGTGGAATCGCCCTACGTTACGGCTAGAGATTTCGGCTCTTCCACGCTATCCCGAGTGAACATAAAACTTGACCAAAATGCCAGGGAGTGAGGGGATAGCTGCCTATAAGAACATACCTTTAGCTACCCTCTTAGAACATCGTACTATGATTTCAGAAGTCGCGTACGTTTAAGGAGATATTGTTTCAATATGGCACATAAATACACGATAATTTTAAGGATTATTCTGATCCATGTCGATAATTCAGTCTTTAAAACTCATCGATTTATATAAACTTCATCCTTCGTAAAAAATCGATGCACGGACGACACGACAACAACAAGTGCATCGTCCATGAATTCTCCTGGTAACAGTGTGTGATTGCCCAGTAGTAAAATTCAAGCCACTAATTTTTGGCGACTAGGACGTTATTTTGTGAAATTGGAAAAGACATATTTCGTGGACATATATTCACCTTTTTGTTAAATGATTGTTTTAAGATAAAGGCATTTGTGCGTTAGCTTATATTTACAGGTCTTTCATTTCGTCGCGATGTAGACTCACGAACATTTGTATTGGAATGGGTACTAAACATCCAACGGCAACACATTCAAAGACATCCATGTTTCAAAGACTTCTACTTTGGAGGAAAACCCGAAATTTTTCAAATCTTCAAACGTCTCAAAAGACTTCGAAAAAAATAACA